GCCAAAAGCAAACACTTACAATTAGTACAAAGTAAAATTTTTTTGTTAAAATAATAAATTTAAATATTAAATAATTTTTTTTTTAATTTTGTCTCATTTTTTAAACTTTACTCGGCTAAACCTCTCCAACACGATATACGTATAATTCGTACCAATTTGTGATTATCACTCTATGCATTTCAATCCTTTTTGTCAATTTTATTATTTTGATTTATGTATTTATAATAACATATTTATGTATAAACTTCAGATATGATATTAACCTCTTGTATATTTTTTTATTTCATAACACATCTATTTCTTGTGGAACATATTCTTTTAGTTGTAAAATAAAATTATTTATTTTTTATATAAAGAAATTTTAATTTTTTTGACTTTACAAATCAACCTGCTGCATATATAGCTTACCTCTATTAATGGTTTGTACTTTACTTCCAATGGAAAGGGAGCCATACATTTTATACACTTATAATTTTGTGAATAAGATTGTCTTTTAAAGTTTATCATTTTTTCTAAACAATGAATATGTATAAATTCTTGGTCGCCGGTACAAAGACATGGACATATGAGTTCTCCCTCACCAGCATCTAACAAATTTATATACATTTGCAATACTAACAAGTAATAATTATATTATACATATATATATATATATGTATAATATATGTACATATATTACCATTGTATAAATCACGAATTCCTAAGCTGCATGAATTTTATTCAAATTTCAATATAAATAGAAAAAAAAAAAATAAATTTATAAATATCCTTTCTTTATCTTACTGTGACAGAATATCCATACCTTCCTTGCAATGTCGACATATGGGCTTGAAGGCTATAATTTCATTATTTTCTATTTCTATCGAAGAGGACGTCGATTTCATGCTTATACTAGAATTTAAATCGTCTATTTCGTATTCTTTCTGATTTGATTTATTTAATAATAGAATTTATTATTGAAAATTTATTTCAAAAGTTTCACTCTTTACGTCGTCACAATATGATTACAATACATATATTATTTGTACTGCTACCTTTGACATTGAAAGAAAATATTTTCATGCACTTAAACGGAAATGGTTCAAATGATAACATGTTGTTTGGAATACTTGATATTTAGTTTTATTTTTATACATGTATACATTGTTCTATTTAGAATTTAAATCTATTTGAATTCGTTATCGATTCCGTCATAATTTCGATCTCTGATAACTTTCACACTTCAGTTGTCATATGCTTCTCGTCTAAAAAACACTAAAAATTCAAAATTCTCATTCACACATTGATGTCAAACTTAAATTAAACTCTCTCATGTTTAACACATAAAAATTCATATATGTGTAATATATAACAGGCAAAATGACTTCTTTATTAAACAGACTCTTATTTGAAATAATATGAAGAAATTATTAAGGTGTGTGTGTATTTAAAATAAGAATTACTTTCTCATTATAAAAAAACATTACGTATTACTTATCATAATTGCTCATTCTACAAAAGTCGATTGTGATAATAAATTACAACATAACTGATTTTGTGAAACTGCAGGGAAGGAGAGGGAGTCGAGTATTAGCTTTGGAGAATAAATTTTATCAATTTGCAATTTATTCTAAATTTCCTTTTTTGTAGCCAAAAACCTTATTTTCATCGGAAATGGCAATGGTACCAATAATAAAGTGTACATCGAAAGAACAACTGGCCGGCATGAAACTAACGGATGAGAAGAACGATGAAAAGTCAGAAAAGAAATTAACAGTACTCGAATCACACGGTTATACTCTCGGCAAGACTATTGGTGCCGGATCATATGCCATCGTCAAAGTAAAAATTCCATTTCCTTTTCTTTTCCCTTCCTTTGTCAAGTCACATTCTTTTTGAGTTCCAAACATTTGTATGTATTTGCAAAGATTGCAAAGTCCAATCGATACAATTGTCAAGTGGCAGTGAAGATAGTCTCGAAGTTCCAAGCGCCTGGAGAGTATCTCACGAAATTTCTACCTCGTGAGATCGAGGTAGTTAAAGGATTGAAACATCCGAATCTCATTCACTTTTTACAAGCGATAGAAACCACACATCGGTTAGTTTACCTTCTAGATTAATTTTTAAATAGCATTTGTATAAGCAGATTAGCGGAATAGATATAGAAGGGATTGAGATAGAAATTTATCCCACAAAATCGAATTCCAGTTATATGAATGCCTATCAATTTCTTCTAAACTTGTTTTTTTCAGGGTATATATTATTATGGAATACGCGCAGAATGGTAGCTTACTCGATGTTATACGACGCGATACTTACATTGACGAGTTACGTAGTCGTAGGTGGTTTAGACAACTTCTAGAAGCCGTCGATTATTGCCACGGACACGGCATAGTGCACAGGTAAAAGACAACTACCAAAAGTAAAAAAGATTATTAAAATTGATCTTGTCACGAGAATAATCTTTTAATATAATTCTCGGTTAAAAAATTCTTATAGAGATGTAAAGTGCGAGAATCTACTCATGGATTATCGATTCAATATTAAATTGTCTGACTTCGGATTTGCGCGTGGACAAATGAAGTCAAAGAAAGGCGAGTGGCCTCTCAGTACCACCTACTGCGGCAGTTTTGCTTATGCATCACCCGAAATTCTATGTGGTGTCCCTTACCAGCCTCAACTCTCCGACATATGGTCCATGGGCGTAGTGCTTTATGCTATGGTTTATGGTCGGCTGCCGTTTGACGATACAAATTACGCGCAACTGCTAAAGGTACCCAGGTATATGCAAAGACTGGTATACCCAGCGTATACTCAGGTCGATTCTGATATCTTTCGCATATTCTTCTTCCATATACGGTTTATAAAATTTGTTATTAAATCATAAGACACGAAAAAATGTATGTAAGTATAAGAATAATCTTTTCTATATATGTATATAGTCCTTTCTTTCTTTAGCAAGTACAAAACAGAGTGGTGTTTCCAAAACGTCCTAAAGTATCTCAGTCGTGTCGTTCTCTCATTACCCGTATATTAGTACCACAATTTGCACGATTGCGTATCAATAGTATAAAAAGTGACGCTTGGCTCGAGACATCCGTTATTGCTCAAACGTCAATTAGTGACAGATTTAATGTAAGAATTAATCCATGCAAACTACTTTCTGCATTACCTGTAAAGAATTGCTTTGTTATGCCTTTATGTTATTATAGGATGAACTACCTACAATATCTGCAACTAAAGAATCCAAAGTATCTGATAAATGTATAGTACCAACTGGACCTACAATTTTTCAAGGAAATGAAAAATCGAAAGATCTTATCCAAGGAAACAAAAAGACTGATTTAAATGCGAAACCATAAGTCTCATGTAACGTTGAAAAGTAATATTATAAAATAAAGCTATATTGAATAGAGTATTAAATAATTACAAAGTATAAAAAAAGATACTCAAGAAAGAAACAGTAATTTCTAAAGTTCTTATAAACATACTATATGACAATCTGTTAACTATTATATTTTATTATGGCACTTTTTATTCTTGACTCTTTTTTGATGCATAAATATTACTATAGTATATAAATAATAAAAATTAAAAGCTACACAACATATTTATGGTGAACAGAAGTATTAATTTCAATTATATTATTTTCAATTGTATTAATAAGCAGATTCTGCCTAAACACAATATAATATAATATACAGTACATAGTACTGCATACACACGAATTTATTAAATAGATCTATATTTAGCAACCATAAGTAGTATTATGGTACCAATCATAAATACACCGGGCGCAGTAGCTTTATGTATATCCTGTGTATCATCTGTAATAGAAATATCTGCAATTAATATTTATTAGTATATAAATTTCATTGCTAAGATTTACTGTTAACAGCTTACCACTTATTTCTGGGAGTGGCTCCCAACCTAAACTTTTATCAATACCTATTTTCCACTGGGAATATAAAATGTCACGTTCTAAAATTAATATATTAGTCAATTAAATCTCCATATAGTGTCAACAATTCTTATATTTATAATAAAGGATGATTATTGCAAGATGATCACCATTCTCAGTTATTAATGGTAAGAAGATGTCAGAGGGAATAGCAGCATCAATCTTCACATCCCATTTTCGTATTCCTTCTGCACTACCCGCAGCAATTGCGACTCCAAGTGCAGTAGTTTCACACATTAATGGTCTAACTTTCGTATAAAAAATTGTATTTATTTATATAATCTATTAACTTTTAATGTAATAGTATGTATGTGTGTATTTGAAGAAATGTTCTACCTACTCACTGGAATGCCACAGATATCAGCTTGCATTTGCATTAATACATCGTTATTTGTCATTGCACCGTCAACTAACAGCTTTGTTAGCATCAAACCAGTATCTTCCTTCATAGCTTCTAAAATGTCTCTTGTCTGGAAGCATACCGCTTGTAAAGCTGCCTTTACAATATGTGCACTAGTTGTATCTTCACTAATACCACATATGACACTGAAAATAATTAATTTATATTGATACTTACAAAATAAAAAAAGATATGCATAAAAAGAAAGAAACAATGATTTCCAAATAGTTCTTATTAATATATTATATGTATATGACAATCTGGTAACTATTCTAAATATGATATGGCATTTTTTTTCTTCTTTGATTCTTTTTGTTATACTTAGATATTATTGCAAAGTAGTTCAACGTCTCTATATATTGATAAAATTAAATACCTTCGCGCATCTTTCCTCCAATATGGAGCATATAATCCAGCAAATGCTGGTACAAAAACAATGTGATTGGGCCCTACCGGCATTTGCTCGACAATGGTTTCACAGTCTTTTATATTAGTTAGTATTTCAAGATTATCTTTCAACCACTGTACAACGGCACCTGCAATAGCTACAGAACCTTCAAGAGCATACACGGGAGAAGCATGCGCTCCTAATTGATAAGCGACTGTCGTTAATAAACCATGGGACGAATCCACAATCTACATTCAGAAATATAGAATTATATTTGTTTGAATTTATATCTAATGTATATAACATGTTGTGTGTGTATAACATTTCTCTTACAGCTGTTCCAGTGTTGTAAAGAAGAAAGCAGCCAGTGCCATAAGTACTTTTTGCCTGTCCTTGCTGTAGACACATCTGACCTACTAAAGCTGATTGTTGATCACCTAAGCACTGCAATAAATAATTTTTACATATTTGATCAAATTTATTTTAATACTTATAATTAATTATATCTTAATATAAAGTTATATTAATAAAAATATTTCATATTTTGATGTACTTATATATTGACACTTTATATTATATTTAATAAAATAGTATGAATTACGTACCCCTGATATAGGAACACCCTGCAACAATTCGTCTTGTACATAACCATAAATCTCAGAAGAGCTTCGTATTTCAGGTAAAATTTCAGAAGGTATTTTAAAAAATGATAATAGAGTAGGATCCCATTTCAATGTCACAATATTCATTAACATTGTTCTCGAAGCATTTGTCACATCTGTACTATGTACACCACCATTGGCACCACCAGTTAGATTCTAATTATAACATTAGGCATATTAATCTAAATCAGTATAAAAAATTTATCTATGTCATGCTTGCTCTACATGAACAAACCCAAATTAGCCAGGAATCAATGGTACCAAACATGAGACGTTTAGCAGCTAATGCTTCTTGAACTCGAGGTACATTCTCTAACAACCATTTCAATTTTAATGCGCTAAAATATGGACTAATTGGTAATCCGCAAAGTGGCTTCAAGTAATTCTTATTTTTATTGCGTATACCCTTCAATATATCATCTACAATGGATGTTGTTCTCATATCCATCCATACTATAATACATTACCAAAATTAATAAATCATTTATTACGATTTATATAAAATATAACATTTATAATAACATTATTTTACCTATAGCATTGTAAAGTGGTTCTCCTGTTACAGAATCCCATACAACTGTAGTTTCCCTTTGATTTGTTATACCAATTGCAACTATATCAGCTGGATCTATCGTCAACTGCCTCAAGTTAAATACGGTTTGCTTGAGGCATTCTCTAACTGCTCTCAATATCTCTAAAGCATCTTGTTCAACCCATCCCTCTTTTGGACATATCTGTGGTATTGATACTTGATGATACGTTAACACTTCTGCTGTATCAGCTGCAAAAACCTGTATTATTGTGACAGAGAATTTATTGATAAAAAAGAAAAATATACAGGATATAACTAAAAGGTACAATCAAACTTTACAGAGAACCGTTCCTTATCTAGGGAATAAAATATGAACATAGAAAAGCTTCTTTGTGTTATTTCAAAAACATAGTTTCTAAAATGTATTCTTCATTAAATGAGTTGAACAAGAGGAAGACTAATTAACATCGTTAAGGTCATATTCTTCAAACATTCCAAAACTAATTTGTGCAATTAAATATAAATAAATAATTAGAATATATAGATTAATAGAGTCCTAACAAGAAAATAAAGTTTCTGAATCCATAAAATCATGTTTTCATCCTCTAGATATGAAAAATGTAATCCCAAAGTTCAGTCTTACTTCTTAGTTACATTATGTATACAGTATTTTAAAATGTTATATTATAATTACTCCAACAACAATAATCAATGAATAATAACAGATATAAGAAATGAATAACAAAAGATATAGCCTTGTGTTACAAATCTCTTCATAAATATCATATCATTACAAATTGTCGTAAATGAAACTACATACTGCTTTTAACGTATCTTTCAATTTAAACTGTAACAATTTATTTTAACATTTATTTTAATATCTAAAGGAGAATCGACTTGACATCGTATACATATAAATACTGTATCTTCGAGATTCCCTTCAATAACAGCAATCTCACGACAATGCATCATCCCACGATATGACCATTAACATAATGAGATAAAAAATTTTTCGCACCAAAAATCTTGCGCTGCTCGTCCCCTCGTCGATCGCACCGACGAGAGGCCCATATCTGCTTAATGATTCATTTTTGTTCATTTGAGCGTCTTGAGCAATCGTGGTAGCCTACAGTCGCCCAGCTGGGTTGAGCTGGGTTGCCAGATGACTCTGGACTATTATCGCCACCTATGAAGCTTTTTATAGCCAAAAATCACCATTTTTGTTAATGAATTTTCGCCATAATATCGCTACCTCTGTAGGAGCAGTAGACAAAAAGTACGTATAATCGGAGAGAAGCCTGAGAGCGGCCACGCCCGGGATTTAGCTGTTACTTTATTTTGAAACGCCACTTATGTCCACAAAACATGGACATTGAACTATGTAGCCATATGTCCAAGATCATGTCGGTAATATCAAAGATTTTTGGTTCGAATCATCCCTATGTCCATGATTTCAAAAAAAATGACTCTGAGGTAGAAAAATTGGAACTAAAAGGGTAACGTGACCAGTAGTGGGGATATTAAAATCTATACGTGCATAACAATATGAATATAATCGGTTATAATAGTAAGTTCCTGAGCGACGTGTTAATTAATGTTATTAACATTATTTAGGTTTGCATTATTTAAGATACAGAAATATACCGAATCTCAATCTAAAATAATGCATTCTTAAATAATGTTAATAACATATTAGTCAACACAATGCTCAGAAACTCTCTTAACACAATTTGTCTAATATTATTAAAAATTCTATTATTTTTATTAATATTTATATAATAAATATATTTTTTTTTATACATTATTCAAATATTACTATAAAAGTTACAAATAGTTTTCGATAATTTCATTTTATTTTTTTATTACTAAAAATATAATGCAACACATTTTCCCGTCCCACTTTACAGACTGCGGACTGTCGGATATATAAATATTGAATACCCGGTGTGGTTAAAAAATGTGATGCATATCATTTTCATGATCCACAGCATCATACACACAACAAATCGCACTTAACAATATATTACAATATTTGCAATATGTGCATTAATAGTATGTATATAAATATATACCGGATAAAATTTAAACATAAAATTATACACGTATAAAAAATTGAACAAAATACAATATGCCGTACATATATCATAATAATATATTAAAATATATACAAAATTAAAACATTTTCGAAAAGAGGTTATTGCGGCAAAGCAAAACGAGAGGAGCAATTGCAGAA